CTGGCCTTCTGGCAGCCAGAGTGCAGGCAGACAGGCTGGGCAGTTAGGCCAAAGTTAAGACAGGACTCAGACAAAAACACCTGATCACTTTAATTAGCCTGAGCCAGTGGTTCTCACACTTTTTCTGGCATACTCCTCTTATAAACCAGAAAAGTGTACACTGCACATCCAGTTTTTGTCATCATTACCAGTAAAAAGGGTACAGTTTGTAATTTAATGGCATAATGATCAGCACAACAGCATCAGCAACATCTTGTTTGCTTTGTTTCCCCATTAATCATAATAATTCAGCTTCTTTTCACTCCAGATTTTTTCCCTGGTCCACTGATTTCAGTATGGCAGGTTGTCAAAGTCTTTCCTGGGGAGAAGCATAGACTGTATATAAAAATGGACTGTGATGCCACCCATTGGTTCAGTGAACAGCATTTTGCCTGTTGCTGTGTTAGTATTTTGAAACCAGACATGGGAAGTAAGAGAACTTTGACTCAGAATGATGTGTAAATCACAAGGAAGGCCTACCTGAAAGCATACCTTGTTCTACTGGGTCTGATTGGCTCTAATTTGGACCCCAAAACCATTTTAGTAAGAAAATAAGGTTTATTTATACAGCGCTGTTTAGGAAAAAAATGTAAAAATGGCTTTAAATATGAAATACAGAATAATACTCGTTTGTATCTTATACTCATTTTTACTCAGCAAGAATTTCAGTGTTTGGGAAACTTAACAAGCATACTATCATGGGATAATGAACCCAATAGGTAGCTAATATTAACTCATTAGCTATCAAGCATGTTAGTTAATAAATCCCTTGACAGAATTCTTTCTTTAGGAAATTGTGCATTTCCATCTTGCTCTTCTTTTATATTCAAACAGTAGCAGCTCTCAGCACATCCATCAGCAGCTTCAGCCCAATGTCAAGAGTTTAAAGGGTCTGCCGTTGTGTGGTATCTATCTGTCCACTGGAGAAAAGAGCCGTGGGCCTCCAGGAGGATAGGAAGCTGTCTGACTTGAGTGTTGTGATGTGCTGGTCAAGGGAAGGAGGTTACTTAAAGGATATGATGTCTTCTCAGCAGACTAGATGTCAGTAGGAGTCACCTCGACTCCCAGGGGAGAGCTGCCACCAGGATACACATTTAATGCTCTTATCCAGACACTGATAGATAACAGTCAGGATGGGTTCAAAGCAGCAACATTGAGATAATAGAGATTGAGACAGATGAAGAGGCATTTATTTGAGATAGAACTAGAACTTGAACTTGGCAGTCAGTTTCATTTGGGGCTCGATGGTTCACGTGAATGATTGACTCCTCGTTATTGGGTCAAAAGTGCAACTGTAGATATGTTTGAACATTTTACCTGTTAGGAACATGTGATAGTTGGCATTAAAAAAAACTAGGTTAAGCTTTTCTAAGCCTGTAATCCGTAGTTGGTATCAGATAAGTTTTGCATGCTGTACTGTACTTGTATTAGCTCTCTGGCACTATATGTGACAAACCGTGTTTTCCATAGCCAGCAAATAGAAGCAAAAATCAGAGATTATTTGTATGTAATACTTGACCCTGGGCCACTTGCTACTCACTTGATGGACTCTCTTCGATTCCACTATTGAGTTACAAGACTCTGTATCCTCTTAGCGAGGCTCGTGGCCCCTCCTCGCTGTGTATGAACCTGGCAGGACCGGGACCGCTCGGTCCTTCTTTTCTGTGCCCCATCCCCCACCAGACATAGTGATGGCACTCAGTGCCAGAGACACCCCTCCCTCCCCTCTCTTCCCTTCACCACCACTCCTCTCTCCTCTCCGCCCTCCCTTCCCTCTCTGCCGCAGGCAGACCCAGGCATGGGATCTCCATCTGTGCACAAAGGAGCCTCCTCTATCTGCATACGCTGCACATAAAAGGGCCTTTTGTCATGAGCTCTGCACACATGACCGTCCGCCTTTCACCCCGCTGGAAAAAAAGATCACTCTCTCCAGCAATCCAACCCCACCCCCAACACCAGACTCAACCCTGTCCCCGACCCCCACCCAGTCAGGTTTTCATCTGCGGAGAGAGAGTGAGAAAGAGACAGGAGAGAGAGAGAGAAAGAGTGAGACAGATCTACTCCAAACTTTGTCGAATAGAGACAACCATTAGATGGAGCTGCCTCCATCACTTCTACAAAATCCCTTTTCCTCTTTTTCATTTCCCTTTTATCATGCCTGCCTTCTCTGTTTTGTTTATTTGTTTTTGTTTTTTTTTTCAAACTTCTGGGGTCTTTGTTTGTCCTCATTGTGAGGCATGAACGTATTATAGCATCTGCCATGCTGAAATATGAATGTGCTCCCAGTTTTGCCGTCTCCCTTCCTTTCTGCAGTCTCTGACATTTAAGTGGCATTAGTGGTTGGTTGTGTGCCAGGTTATCAACCCCCCCCCCATTAGAGAAGCACAGGCTCAATTGACAACAGTCCGAGAGCTGAGGCTTTTCAGTGCCTCTCATCTCCGTGCCTCCTGCCTTTTAACCTCTCAGTCCCACGCTGCTCTGGAGAGCCCGAGGTATTTGTAATGTGTAGAGATAATGGCAAAAAATTGTCTGCACACGTGAGATCCAAATCAAGAGATACAAGGTAGTGTTCTCTACCTTTGGGAGACAAGTGGGCTGTACGCCATTTTGGCTACTAAAGATGACACATATTGGTGCTGAGGGATATTGAGTCAGGGTGGGGACGGAGCAAAGACATAGAGGCAGGCAAATACACAGTGTCAAGTGCACGAGTGCTGCCACAAAAAAGCGCTTTCCTCAGCGTTTCCTTTGAAACACACACGGCCCCGATGCCTTACTCCCGGCCAAACGTGTGTGGATTTTGGAAAGCCCTCGAGCTCATCTTGCTGTCGCTGCACACAGGCCTGTGGCGGAACGGAAGGATAAGATTGACTTCTCCCTCCATAGCCATGTCCTCCACATGACCCTCTGCCTTACTAAGTTGGTGTGAGAGGTCAGAGGCTGTCACACCATCGAATACGTGCTGTCAACACCTTTAGCTTGATGATGATTATGCTGATGGGTGGACCAGAACATGTTACACCCCATCAGTGTCAGCACAGTTTACCATAAAGAGAGCACAGAGTTTACACAGAGGGTCCCTGAATCACAGACTAGCATTGAAATAATTTTGCGCAAGTGTTTACCCTCCTAAGTGTCTGCGGTCATAATCACGAGGAACAGAGTTGCTTGTTCCCACAAAAGTATTATATAACGAGGCATAATGATTATAATGATGATAACGAGAGTAATAAAAATAAACATTGTTTTTATCACACGCTTGACATGAAATTGAAAAAACACACAATGCGTGACACTTGTAGTCAAAATAGACAAAATAAATGTAGTGTATACTTTAAATGCTCTCTGTGCTTTTGATATAAGCCTCTGCATGAAACTAATAAACTAACTAGTTGTCAGCACACAGGATTACAAGAAAAATCTATTTAAGGGAAAGTTATGAAGACAAACGTTTTACACACATGTGTACATGCAATCAAATGAGCAGATTGAAATGACTTTTCACAGTAGTAAGTGGACATTTACTTTTATTGCTGGCATGTGGTCTGGTTTGCCGGAACAGTGATTTATGTCTCAAACACATATTACTTTGCTCTATGTAAAAAATAAATATTAATAATATTTTGCATCAATCACTGAATTTGCATAAATAGCCCACAGAGTATAACATCTGTTTATGCAACTGTCCTATAAATCACTGCTTTTCTCCCACATAGATAAAAGCCATTCAATGCAGTTTTACTCAACAGTAACCCAAGTGTGATTTCTCTAATCAGTGATTTTTTTTTGTCCTTCTTTTTTTAATCCATGACATCAATATCAGCTGTTTCCCCTTTTTCAAGGTTGCCAAACAACAGATATCAAAGTGGTAAATATCTAGAATATTTCAAATATTTACTTTTTGTGCTCGAGTAACTCTGTTTTTGTCACTAAGCTTACTTTACTGTAGTAATCATAAGGAGGAAAGTGCTGCAAAGTGATTCGGAAGCTGAAAGGTGTGTGATGTCGTGTTGGAAAAGGAACCAGGAAAAAGAAAAGCACACGTATTGTTAAATGTTATTAGTTACATGTTTTGCTGTTCTCAGTGGAGCAAGGATGCTAGACAGACTGTGTAAGACAACAAAACAGTGCGCACAAAGTGTTTGTTGAGGCAGCGAACCGCTGAGTGCGTATGACTCTGCTGTGTTGGACTCCTTGCAGCCCTGCGGCACAGAAACAGCCGTTGTGACGTGGCCCCTGAAATGCCAGGGCTGTGCACTCTTGGCGTAGTGATTAGGGAGAACAAAACAAAATGGCCAAGGTTTTTTTGTTGTTGTCGTTTTAAATAGGAATTAATAACCTGCATGAGAAAACTGGAAGGAAGAGTAGAAGTATGCAGAGACCTGACAGAAAAGGAGAATTTACTTTATGTGTCACTGATTATTGAAATTTGTCTCAGTACATTATTTAGTGCTACAGATCAGTATTTTTATATTGCTGCTTAACTAGATAATAAACATTTGGTGCATGTCTAAAAATGATTGGTTACTACATTGTGATCTGTGCTATAATGACAAAAATGACACAGGTATTATACTCAGTGAAAAATATTTTTTAATTGAATATTTATTACATTGTTACACTCCTTCAAACCCTGCTTGTGCTCGTTTCCACCATAAGGCAGTTTTGTTGCATTCACACTTTAAATGCAGATCTTCAGACCTACACAGTACAAAGTAATGCAACATTGCATTTGTGTTGGATTTTGAGCTTTTAATATATCAGTACTAAAACAGTAGGTGAAATAATTAACTCACGCATTATACATTTTAATTTTTTTTTTTAAAGTGTTGTGCTGACCCCTTAATGCTGCCCCACTTTAGTGTGGAAATCCTTCTTTTTTATAGCATGTATCACCTTAACATGCTACAGTTGATAATTAACGTCTCATTGGGATCATAGTTTAAAATTCTGTATTTTTATTAGAGGAAAAAAGTATTAATTGATATTAATGAGGCTGAAGGTCGATGTTGATTTCTTGCCTAGGCTGCCCTTGCTCATTGCTGCCTTTTCGAAAACGGCCCTGATCCAGGGCAATATGTCTGGTTGTTGAAGGGCTGCCAGAAGTAGTTGTTAGTTACAGTTAGGGCGCGTCCCTCTTAGGATAGGTTGTCCACTCTGAGGTCTGATATCGAATAGGTCCATAATTTCCAGCTTGTTCCCAGGAGAAGCTCTCCTTTGCTCTTTTCTCTCTGTGTCTCTCTTCCTCCTCTCCTTTCAGAATCCTGTGAGAAACAGCAAGGTGAGTTCATTCCTGCTCTTGAAAAAGTCTTTATTCCTGTTTTTTCTTCTTCTTCTTCTTCTTTTTTTTTTTTTTTGCTAAGACGAATCGTTTCTTTGTGCATGTGGCATATCTAGAAATTCTGTTTCTTCGCAATATGTCTCAGAAATATTTTGAAATTCAATATTTATTGCGGTGCTTTTGAATTGTTCTCATGAAAGCACCGGATCAAATGCCTGCTGAGCTATGTGGCAGATGAAGGGAGGGGGGGGGGGAATCACTGCTCTGTTTTTGTGCTTTCATATCAGCACAACATATCAGGTAAAGCTGATTAAACAGAAATCAAATACATTAAAATTAAATTTATATTTTTATTCATATAAAACTATTTATTAGGAATGAAGTGTTTAAGTGCACCATGTTTAACAATCTAATACTAGTGTAGAAAAATGATTTATACACACACAATGAAGTGTATTATTTAAACCCAAAACAGATTTCTAACAGTTTTTCTCTTACTTTTGAATTTAGTGACAGGTTCATGTTAAATAAATCAACTTGTGTGCGCCGTGACTGAATATCAGTTCTTTATTATTTGTATAACAAAAGGCTGGATGAGCTGCCTTTTGTAAAGCATATTTTTGCACAGTTCATATTAACATTTTAATGTGGATTTTTACTCAGTGAACAAAAAATGCATTTCTGGAAAAGTTTGTTTTTTCCCCTGAATAAATCGTGACAATAATTTACAGCAAATTCATAAAGTTCAGGCATTATTAAACATTTCCTAAAATTAAATTAGTATCCCTGGCATTTTTTGTTTTTTAGGCAGTGTGTTCCTTTAACGAAGCTAATATTTAAAAAATAGTCAACATTTATGATAAAATTATTAAGTTTAACTATTAATTAATCATTTATTTATTTATGTCTTTTTGGGTTTCTGTAATAAGCGGGCGGCATTTTAAGGAAACAAACAAAAGTCCATTCTGTTTATATTCTATAATATTTTGCACACATGCTTTTATATATGCCACAGTGCATTTCAAATATTGATGGATAATGTGTTTTCAAATAAGTGCTCAGTCAAGAGTTTTGCATGTGAAGATAACTTGTTGAAAAACTTGAACTTGATATTTTTGGGAACTCATTGCTGGAAAAATATCCCTAATCCTGATAAAATGATATTCCCAAGGTGCTTTATTCCATAAAATTCTCCAAAGGAGCTGATTGTTAGCAGACATTTCCAAAATGATATAGCTGAATTATGTTTCATTATAACTTATTATCGGCTCGCTTTTGCAGGAAATGCAGTGTTAGGTAAGCTCAGCTGTGCAGCATGCTTTCACCTCTGTACTAATATCAAAGTATACGTTGAAGGGAGTCACAGAAACAGATCCTGAACAAGCTGCTTTTTTCTTATCGGTTGCAATCACCAATATTACGATTCTTTTTTTCTTGTATTAGAAACATCATTACTGCGCATGTCTTCTGTCCACCATTTCATTGCACATGCAACCATTTTATGAGCTTCAACATAAAACAGTCTTTTAGGTCAGAGGCCTTGAAAACATACTTGAATTGACAATGTTTACTTAGGAAGGAGTACTTATTGGAAATACGGGTACACGGATGAAGCACAGCCTGCTAAAGTAAAGTTAAAAACTCTTTGGACCGGGGTGTGTTAACATTGCAAATCCTGTGCAGTGAGCATTCAGTCGTTTCTTCAGATTTTTCCACATAGAAATAATTCTGTTTGAGCTGTGCTGCACCTTGCAAGGTTAGCCTGCATTCCCTGTCTGTGCATGCATGCGTATAAATGTCAAACAGACGGAGAAAGTGGCGGTCACAGTCGGCTGCCTAAGGTGACTGGTGGGGGTCAAAGGTCAGGCTGTGTTAATACGACGTGATGTGCTGCCCCCGGGACCTCGGTCCCATGAGGGATAACCCCCTAATCAGCATTAGTTAATGTGTTAGTAATCTTTACCTTCTTAAAGCAAACAACAGTGGAGCATTCAATGAGCTCGCTTGGCCTCCCATGTAACGCTTTTGACCCAGGGGTCATGGCCTTTGTTCCCTCCTCGATGGGGAGTGCCCTCAAAGGTCCTGGGTGTAATAGAGAAGTTGTTTAGACACGTGCAGGGTTTAAGCTCGACCACCTTATGGACTCTTCTGCTGGAGAGTATACTCTCCCCTCATACAGAAGGGATACTTTGTGGTTAGCTTTTATCCCCTTCAATAAGTCCATTAGAATAACCTTGTTTTTATGTGCCGCATATCATATCTAAGTGTCGACGTTGTAGTGGTTGCTGACCAAGCACACAGCCATCCCTTACCCCCACCCCCCAACACACACACACACACACACACACACACACACACACACACACACACACACACACACACACACACACACACAAACCCCTACTCCCACCTGCTAATGCCTCCTCGATGTTTCTAAGAGCAAATATTTTTTTGTCTTTGTGGATTCCCTGCCCAGTGAAATTCCATATCGCTCTTGCTGTGCTCATTGTTTTATTGTTTCATGTAGCAGTAGGACGAACGTTCATCCAGTCCACCATTTAAATTCTATAATGCAATGTTTACCCTAACAAATGCCTGCAGACGTCTTTTAAAACACTTTAACGTGCCGTCTTCTGAATGCAATCAGTGCCCGTCAGCAGACAGTTTGTTTAAGCCACAAAAAAATGTGTTTTATTTATAACGGCGTTAGACGTATGCGCTGCATTTCTATTGCTATGCTATTTTTATATTTTAACCGCTTCAAAACAGTTTTTTTCTCTGTCGTAAAATTGTGTTCCCAACTCGATTCATTGCATCAAACCTCGATGAAACAGAGAAGCATAATCATACGTTAAAATTATTAGGAGTAAAATAATTGTCAGGCAGAGGCTATAACATGGCGCCGTCTGCCATTTTGTTTCTCATTGCAATATCAATTGGCCTGATCGACTGACTTTGTATCACACAGCTGCAGCAGCCTAGTACTCCAGAAGGAAAGCTGTGGCTTTTCCCTGCCTTTTCTCCCTCCCGGATGTCAGTTAAAGTGCGGCTGCATCGTGTGTTATTGTTAGTGCTTCATCTAATGTTAGTCGTTTTTGATCATTTAATCTGAAAAAAAAAAAAGCAAGATGTTGCCAGTAGTAAGAACTGCTTTGTGCGTTTTGTTTTGTTTTTTTTAAACGGAAACCGATTTTATACAGTCTACCTTAAATAGTCTGCATTTGCTTCTAAAGTCCGACTATATGACTCCACAATTAAGATGTGACAGGTAATTACGACACGCAACAGAGGCACAATGTAGCGGCAATGTAGACACGCAACACAGCGGCAAGAGCTGGCAGCAGTCCCAAAGCCAAAACTGTATCCTCAGATGAACTTTATGTCATGCAAAGTACAGTATGCACACTAAGCATAAATTCACAGAGCATGCTTCCCTAAAACTAATGACTAATACTCCTTGGAGTTCTAACATATGCTTTTTTTATTTGTTTTTTTTTACAAGCTATTCCCCAAAAATCTTAACATATACCCAAGACATCTTTATACATTGAAGCCATAATGAAGTCATGAGTTTCTCAATTGGTTAAAACGCATGGCGAGATGTGACGTATACCTTGAACTCCTTCTAATAGGATTCTATAGCTCCTGCCAAAGTGCATGACTGAACTGAGCTAGTATCTCATTTAGGGAAAGGAAGAAAAAAGAAAGAAAGCGAACAAATACCTTGCAGTGCAAAGCGGCCTTTTCCTGCACTTTGTTAGTTTAAATAATATTGGCATTTTTCTCCTTTCTCTCTAATTGTCTTTGGCCGTATGTGTTTCTACTAAAAACCCGTCTAGCAAAGAGGAGTGCGCGGAGAGAGGAGAAGAGTTTTTTTTGTGCAATCCAGCCTGTGCTGCTGTGAGGAAGAGAGAGCCGGCGAGGAACGGGGTGGTGGCCGTGCAGTGAAAGCAGCCCTCACAAGCTGTGCAGCCTGAAGCAGTAGCAGCCATGTTAAACAAGTCTCCGTGAGCTCGAGCCCCGCTTATGTATTTGTGCTCTCCAAAGCCGACAGGAAGTTTTCACAGAGTAAAACGTAAGAAAAAGTTTAACCCCCACCTTATGTTTTTCCTCTCTGTCTCCCTCTTTCTCTCTTTCTCATTGTCTCTTGCTAGGCATGAAGTCCCCTCTTTAATTCTCAGCAGTTTATAAAGCAGAAATGAATTTTTTTTTAAAAAAAGAGAGAAAAAAAAATAGCTCCTCAGTAATAAATACACTTTACATATCTCCTTCCTCCTTTTCTTCCCTTATAGAGCTCCTGGTTCAAGGCCGAGGGGGGAAAAAGTTAAAGCCACGAGGTCTGCCTTTTGCAGTTTTTTAGAACCAGAGCCAAAAGAGGCAGGAAGTTGTTGTACAATAGCGTTACAGTAATCTGCCTCAAATGGAAAAAGCCAAATGCTGATCGCGGAGTGGAGAAGGTGGCAGAACAGACAGAAAGAGGGAGGGAGGGACAGGCAGGGAGAGAAAGAGCTCTAGCGTGTGAGAAGCAAAGCATAATCAATGCAATCTAAGATGGTGGAAACAGCCCTGCTGTTTAGTAGGGACCCCCCCCTTTCTCCTCTCCTCTCCTAGTTCCCTCTGAGGCTCACTTATGCTTCATGTAAATCTGTGCAAGAAATTGGTTCAAACTAAACATTATGTTATCTTTTTTTTTTCGTTCTCCGTTTTAAACAAGACAAATCGGCATCTCTGGGGGGGTTTCGCTAAAATGTTCTCCGAACTGTTGAACATTGAATACCGGGGCATGTAGCAGCTGTTTTTCCTCGAGGAAAAAGCAGCAGAGTCTCACCCAAAAATGCTTATCAGCCTTTTTTGACTTTGTGCCAAAATAGCTGCGAAGGTTCGGCTACAGCCTTTGCTTTGTGACAGAGCCGGGGCAAGAAGGAGGCGTCCTGGCCATGCGTTCTTTGCCACATGTTACTGAAATTAACACTCTCCGTGCTTTTCTTTTTCACTTTGTGTGCTCGCGTCCTTGTGTGTGTGTGTGTGTCATGGTCTATTCTATCCATTCAGGCTGCTCAGGCATGCCAAAGAGTTAATGCGCTCTGAGTGTGTGTGTACGTGTGTTCCTTTCAGTGTGTACTTCCAGATCTGTAAAGCTCCACCACGGTAAGAGATGAGGTTAATAATTCAAGGAGATCTCAGAAGTGTTGCATATTTCAAGGATCCTTCAGCGGGGGCAGCTTATGCTGAATGACTCTGTATTCTCCCGTTTTCCTTGCTTTTCTTTGCACTTGCTGATATAGTTGCTGACGTACGTTATAGTGGATCCCAGTATGGCGTGTGAGTGCAGGCACTGAGCCTGCGCGCTGCCTGGGAGGAGTGGATTTCTGTGTCATTCTTCTTCCTCCACCCCTCCCACATTTAGTGCTTTCCACCCTCCCACTCTGCCTCGCTCTCTTCCCTTCTGTGTCTCCATCTCCCACCCATCTTATGCTCCCTCCCTCCCTCCCCAGGCCCCAGTGCAAATACAGTTCCTTGCCGTGTTGGACATGTGATGAAAAAGTGACTGGTTCGCGCGCTCTGCTACACCTCCTATTTCATCATCAGCCGAGCTTTTCTACCCCTTCACTGTATGCATGTCTGTCTCCTCCTCTCGGATTCTCTCTCTCTCTCCCTCTCTCTCTCTCTCCCCCTCTCCTCGTCTTCTCTCTCTGAATCGGTCGCTCCTCTCTTTCTGCTAGAGCCACACGCAAGGGGGAGACTTGAGCTCTGCGAGGGGAGAAAAAAAAAAAAGACAAAAAGTCTGCTGCTATTTCTACAGTCAGGGCCTCCCCGCAGCCCGCCCTGCCATAGATGGATCTTTTTTTTTTTTTACTCACTACTAGCTGGATTTTAACCCTCTGCCTCCAACTAGCTGCACAGCAGCTCTGCAAAACCTGGCAACAAGTGGCTTTTTTTAGGGGCCCTTTTCTTACTTTTGGCACATTGATTTTTGCACCGCTCTGGATTTTTGATCACTTTTCTGCTTTTCTGTTGCTTATTTTCTAAAACTGTACCTCATTTTCCTCTTCTTTTTTTGTTTGTTTGTTTAGTTTTATTAGTTTTTTTTTCCCCCTTGCTGGTTTTTAGCCATGTTTATTTGGTTTCTCTCATTTTGGATCAAAATTTTCCAAGGTGGTGTTTCTCCATCTGATGGGCCTTGATCCACCTGGAATGCCAGGGGCGCCATTTTTGACGGGTAACCTGTTTGTGGTGGTGGGCTTGTGGCCGGGATGTCCATGGATGGCAGTCACAGAGTGACCAGTGTCTCAGTAGGGTATACGTGTGCGTTTTAAAGGAGATGTTTCGTAATCCGCGACTGGCGTGAAGTACCGCACCTTGTTTGTATTTACTCTGCTTCTCCTCCTGTTTCCTCTCCATGTCCTCTCTCCTTCGCTGTCTCCTTGTGTCTCTTTCTCACTCTTGTTCTCTCTCTTTCACGCCGACTCGCTCTCGAGAGCAAATGAGTGGTGCGCTGAGCCGGAGCTCTTACTGGGACAGGTGCCAATTGCAAACAAAAGAAATTAACAGGCAATAAGCGAAGAAAAAAAAAGGGGGGGAAGCGAATTTTCGAATTGCAAGTTGTTGAGATGTCACCAGTAGCTGTGCACGTTACGTCGCCGCATGACCGGTTTGCATTATTGTTGCGTTACGTTATCAAGTATTAAAGTAAAACAGAGGTTTGAATACTTTGCTTCACTTATTCCAGTGAAGGCATTTCACTTGAGAAGAGGGAGGGAGTAATGTGAGAGAGAAGCATATAGACTTGTGAATTATTCATGTGCTCAGCCAAGGCTGAGACTGGACTGGTTGTGCTATTTGCATGCATCAGACATGCTGTTTGTCTGTTTGCTAACATTCCTCATTCAAAGACTTGTTAACTAGCAGCCGGGCTTAGCTGGAGCCTCGCAGACAGCCTCATGGCCTCCTATTGTTTCAGGCCTCACCGGGCCTGGACCCAGCTGGTGGCAGGCAAGCCATGCAGCCCTGAGCTTTGGGTTGAGACTGTGGTTGAAGGAGGGATTTGTGCCTGGAGGTGAGACTGACGTGGGCACTGAGGCTGGAGCTGAGGCTGAGGCACGGCTGTGAACGGGACATTCTGAGGGAAATCATGGGGTTATGCAAGAAGCACCAAACTGGAGCTTATGGCTTTCTCCTCTTCTTGACAGAGATGTGGATCAAAGCGGGAAGAGCTTCCGAACCTCACCGGACATTTAGCGTCTTTGCTCTGGTAACTGGTGAGTAATTTTCATTTAAAATATGCCTATGGATGCATGGTTTCCGATGTACTTTATCAATGTGTTTGCATTTTGGACGTTCAGTTTTCGCAGGAATCCTGTACAAATAAACATCTCGATGAATTTGAGGTCTTTGCACAAAGTTTCTTTTCACCTGAGCGAGCATTTATGCATCTGAATTTAAAGCCCTGCACTTAGAACAGCAGATATCAGAGCGTTAACAGCTATTCTCATGATTTCAAGAACATTTCCTCACTAAAAATTTCTACAAACTCATTCATAGTTTAGCAATACGCACAAAAAAGGCAGAAAAGCACTCTGTTGACCGGATAATCCTACTTTAATGCAATCAGTGAGTAAGTGCAAGGCCACAGTTGTGGAGGTATTTCATATGAGTGATGCTGTCCGAGCTTAGAATGCACTGTATGAAGAGAAGCACGTGGTGCGCTGATCATTTCGATCAGTTTAATGTTTTCAGAAGCTTTTGGAGGACGTCTTAATTTTTACAACTATTTATTTTTAAATGGCAAATTTCTTTGACTTCGTGCTTTTACAGTTTGTACTTGGTAAGCTTATATTTTATTCAAGAAAACGGAATAGAGAATAACTCACCATTTCTTCACCATTTGCTTTTGTATACATAATTTTTGTTAATCGGAGGATTCCTTCATATTTTTTCCCCACTTTTGGATCGATACCTTACATGTCTGAATACAGATTTTACAAGACTTGTGCTTTTGATAGAAGCGCTTTACATACAACTACAGATGCTTTTGTTATTATGTTGATACTAATCGCATTTCTCTTGATTTGATGGAAGAACAAACCTGAATGAGCAACAAACGCAGCAGTTTCACCAACAAGAGAATTTATAAAAAAAAATGACTGTGGATATTGTGAATTTAATGATCAAGATCATGGGAAATCTGTACTGCTTGAATGTTTTTAAGACATTAAAATAGCAAAGTATATTCCCAAGTCTAATGAGAAAAATCTTCTTCGAGGTGTCGCTTGAAAGTATAATCAAATTTGCAGTAAAGCTGTTTTCTGATTGCGTTTTTTGAAAATTGCGGAAATTTTCTAGTTTAATCAACAAAAGTTTGCGTATTTGTCGATCATTCTGCTTTGGATTTCAGATGTGCTGTGTTATGTTGGGTGTCAGGTTTTACATAGAAGATGACTTTTTTTGAAGGACAAAGTCAAAATGATTACTCAAAGCTTTCAAGAGTGAGGCTTACTGTTGCATATGTAGCTTATTATGCTCATTCATATGAATGTAAGCTTTGCTGTACTAGCTGTGGACACATGGTTTTGGCTGGAGGAGTATCTCGCTACTCCACCCCAAGGCCTTTTTGGCACTGAATGGCAGGAGTGCAGTGGAAGGTTGCATGTCGAGAGGCAGATGGCAGGGTTTTCAGCATTTTCTCTCTGTGTGTAAAAGCATACCTACAACAACACAACAGCCTGGTACAACCCACAGTGGGTGCACTGAAGCAAACTAACAGTTTATTGCATCTACACAGCAGAGCTAGCAATGGGACACACACAGACACAGTCACACATACACACTAATACAAATTTACCGTCAAACGTGCGTGTAAATGTATTTGTGTAGTTAATAGTAGTTCATAATAATTGTACTTTTTTTTGTTGATGCTTTCTTGGTGTATGATGTGAGGTTTAGTCAAATAGTTGGTTAGAAGCATTTTTTCATGTAATTACCAACAGCAAAGTGGCTCAAATGGCTTCTTTTAATTTTTAATTTTTATTTTATGTAAATGGAAATATGTACTTAATATAATGCAGAAGCAAAGCAGACACCAAAACTGCATGCCACAGCTACAACACCAAGTTCTCAAACTTGAACTTGACTGTCCTTGAACTTGAATGGGGGAAAAAAATCAACAATTATTCTTAGTCTTAGTATGTTAGTTAAAACATATGGTGCTAACAAAAATCCAACTGAAAAAACGTGGGACATTTTTTAATAGATAAGCAAAAAGAAAGTGTGTGTGTGTGTGTGTGTGTGTGTGTGTGTGTGTGTGTGTGTGTGTGTGTGTGTGTGTGTGTGTGTGTGTGTGTGTGTGTGTGAGGGGGGAAGGGGGTGCACTATGCAAAAGATTATTTGTCATGTTCAGTTATTTTTCTACAATATTCGCAGCAATTCTGTAAGTAATTTATTACTGTTTTTATTATATGTATCATACTGAGGTAACCCTGCTACTTTTAATTTATTACTCACTTATATTTGAGTTTGTCCATGTGAAACTCAAAAATGTCATGACACGTAGTAAAAAGAGAAGAAAATATAAAAACGGACGAATATGTGCACATGTGCACGTCCTCATTTTTTTCTGCCAAGTGTAATTGTTTAAAACAAATCAAAAGTTTGTCCCGTGAAGTTTTTTTGTAAGAACACGTCTTCATAGAGGAAACTAAACAGAAAGCGTAAAAGAAAAATGTGTATGCTAAAACACTGTTTTTAAAGTATTTACATTACTGTAGAGATCAGTTTACGGATGGCTAAGTCACAGCAGCAGCCTTTTTTGGTGTGTGTGTGTGTGTGTGTGTGTGTGTGTGTGTGTTTTTATGGTTTTTATAAGCAGTCTGTGTGTGGCATGATTGAGCATGTGTTTTACTTGTCGGGTGGCATCATGTATATGATATGTATTTATACTTACATATATTATATATATATATATATATATATATATATACACAATAGTATATAAACTGTGTATATATATATATATATATATATTTGACCACAAAACCCTTTTATTATTCCATGGCTTTTCAAGTGTCACAAAAAAATTTATTTATAACTGCGACACTTCTCAGAATTAAATTATTATTAATAATAATAATAGTTGTTCATAATCATTTAGTTCTACCTTTTGAATAGTGTAAAAAAGGCAATTGTTGTATGAAGTATTCTCCAAATGATCATTTATATAGTAGCAGTAATACATAATTTCTTTTGTGTGTAAAATTGCAATAATCTCTTTATACACACTTGGACATTTTCACATTTCTGAATCGTACATAATTTAAAAAAATATGTGTTTCACATCAGCAAGAATACATGGAGTGTAATATTGTTGTCTTTTGTGTTGCTGTTTCATTTTGCACATTTTGATGCTCGTGTGTGTGTGTGTGTGTGTGTGTGTGTGTGTGTGTGTGTGTGTGTGTGTGTGTGTGTGTGTGTGTGTGGTGAGGCAGCCCTGTGCAGACTGCTGTCTGAGTGTTTGAGTTTGAAGTTTTGAGTATGTGGTTGAGGTCGTGTGTGAGTGCTCAGCGTATTCTTACTAGTGCAACTCAGTGAAAATGAGTCATTCATGAGTACAACACAGCAATAAGCCACCGACACAGTGCTTCATTTGTTAAGTGGATAAATTGGTATTTTAGATTATGTGATTTTGTTTCATTTATGAGCTTGCTGTGATGTTGTGAATTTCATCCAATTTCCTCCTGGCTAATATGAAATCCAGATTGGAGTGATGAATGGGGGCCAAGTCACCACTCACTGTAAATATATTTTTGTGCCATAATAATGAAGCCGCTTTGAATTCTGCTGCTTAAAGCGGCTTCAGTGTGCTGTTAAAAAAACAATAAAACTGAGAAAGCCAACATAATGGAAGTTATATTGTATGTCTGAGCTCTCTGGAGAGCTGTCAGGGTTTGGGATTGTGTTGTCCTACTCTGCTGTCTGGGCTTGCTCTACAAAAACGCATGTAGCACTCTTAAGTTGAATGTATTCACAGGTTCACTGTAAAAGTGTTTTCTATGTTTAAAGAATGGAAATTTTCTAGCACGTTTATCTCACTGTTTATTATGTGATCAGATATTTCTTAACTGCATGTCTGTTTCTATTAAACTTTTTACACCACTTTCCCACTTTTTAGTAAATGGTTGTGTATATTAAAGAAAATACATAAAAAAATTAAACCTGATGTGATTTTATGTCGATCTAAAATGAGTTCAAAGCATCAATATATTGATCCATCCTATATTTAGGTGCAGGATTCTTACTGAAGCAGTAACACTATGCAGCAGGTCTGCATAGTTACTGCAGCGCATCTAAAGGTCAAGGTGAATTCCACCAAAACCTGCAATAAAATGCTTTTCACTGTGCTCGTGTAGGCATCGTAGCGCCTTCAACATTACAGTTAGAAAACTTTTAAAAGGGGCCCTTTAGTGCAGCCATGCCGAGTCTCTGTATTAGAAGATGACCAGGCCCCCTGTTGCTCTCCTCAACGTGGAAGAATCCATGAGTGGATCTACAGTGGCCACTACAGGCTGTGGCACACATAGGAGTTACAGTACACGAGAAAGTAGGCCAGGCCTAAACAGAGAGGAGAGAATCTAGAGAAAAAGTCCTCAATGCACGCACACACACACAAAAAAACATATACAAGAATTTTCAGTGTTCTGGTCAACTATATAAGTGCTGAAATTATGTCATAAAAACTAAAAAAAAATTATAAAACGCTGGGGAAAAACCCAAACTATGTATAGATTAACACCTAAGCTGTGTATTGAGGTGTGTTTATCTGCAGCACCACTCCTACTTTATCCGAATTTTATTTTTATGTGGTTATGTTTGGATGTTTCTGCACCGGAACCTTTGTGCAGTCTGTGTCGGTGTGTAGTCCTCGGGCAGTGATTGCAGGCAGGGTGTGAGAGCGGGACTCTGTGATAACACAGCGACCACGAGAACATTCGGTATACTAAAACATACAGACCCATTCGTGTTACAGAGACCATGCGCAACCTCCACGGTTTTGATGCTTGTGTTTGCTTCAGTTTGCTACATTTTTGCGGGGTTGAATGTATCTCCAAGTCTGTGTTTCTGCTCGTGTGTCCTTTCCTGTTTGTGAAGCATGCGCTGCGTTCACGCAAAATCTGGCAGCGCGGCATCTTTTCGAAGGGTTGCGCAAGTTATTTTGCTCGTTCGCTTCTACTTTAACAACGTGAAGCTATCCAAAACTACTGTTTCATTTCTCTAATTCGCCGCTTTCTTCACTTTTTAGTTTGCTCGATCACTGCTGCTCTTTGTCTCTCTCTTTCTGTTCATTTACAAACAGTACCCAGCTACAACACAATGACAGGCACATATGCTGATGCTCTTACATTCATATTCCTGCACCAACAAAAAAAAAATCCTGCTTTTTCTCACCCATCTCATCATACATGGAAGCCATTAGTCCATTACCCTGCAGACTACTGAGGACTGGACTTTTTTTTTTGTTCCTTCCTGTGTTAATCAGGATGTCAGCTGGGAGTGTCACATGTAATTTATCCACAAAACCACAGCAATTCCACAGAGACGGTAAGTACAGTCATAATGACATAATATTGGACTGGGACAAAGTTTCAAGGCATGACAGAAAATTAGAATTTTCCTCCCCTGTACGTATCCCTCTTTTTTTTTTCCTCCAGACATTCTGTAAGTAAAAAAAATGCTTTACACCATGAGCAAAAGTTTGTGTTTCTTTTTTCCCCTCAATTGGACAACTCTCACATTTGAAAACTGTTTTCTCATGAGAGTTTGTTAGAAGTTTGACACATGTAATATCTGAGCATTGTAAATACTCATTGTTTTTCTCTTCCTGCCCTAATCAAACGCACTGAGGCTGTAATACACAGCATCACGTGCGAGTGTCTCTCGGCACACATCGTCGGGACAGATGCTTGTTTTATGTACCTGCCAGGCAAAGCGATATTCCAGATAATGCTCAGCTGCACCCACTCGGTTTTTTCTTTTCCAGCACTCATATATTTCTTCAGCTTTTGGCCTCTGCTGTCGCCAAGGCAATTTAGTCCGAGAAAAACTGCAGAATCAGCAACCTCGTTCCACTCGGAGGTAAAATTGGAAGTGTTGAAAAGCCTCGCCTGCAACCCTTCCCCCCCCCCGACTATCAAAATACTGTAAATCCCTTTCCTTCAGCTCACCTCCACTCCATCACTTTCTACTGCTCGTCACTGATGAGCTAAATTATGTTGGCTGCATTTACTGTTGGCAACGTTTAGTGAACTGGATTGGTTTGGGCTGGGGTTTTTTTTGGTTTTTTTGCTCATTTTGTTTGACTACACTTTCTGCTGACTTGTGCCATGTATTACAGCAAATACAGCACTTGATGTTTATGTAATGTGCATATACTCAGGTTTCCTCGCTTGCAATCACCAAAAGGTTTTAGAATTTCGAGTGAAGTACGACAAAAGCCTCCATACCAACACAAAACCCACCGACATAATGTATGTGTAGTTTTCTTTCTATACTCACAGCCATTCATGTGGTATATTCTCATATCATGTTGACTGTCCCATCTGCACACACACAGCCAGGTTCGTGAGTCATCAACATGTATATGCACACAAACAGCATACCCACACATGCACAGAGTGCAGTGGGTGCACAGCTCGGACATGAATCTCTCTCCGTGGAGGCTGGAGGAGTTGGGTTACTCATGATCCCATAAACATGTGCTGGCAACACTCCGAGGTACTGCACTGTAATTACAAACGTTAGAAACAATATATAAAAGACCCTTTGCCCGACAAGGCCGTGCTCCGCGTTGCAATTAGCATCCGTGTCCAGAATTATCACCCTTCGGCAGCTGCCGCCGCACCGAGTGAAAGCCTTAAATCGGCAGCGTCCTCCTGGGCCCGCGAAATTGTCACATTTGCTCTTTATTCTCTTCTGCGCTTATTTTTTACTTGCGCAATCTGAGATTTGGCTAACAACGCCTACCTCTGTCGCCTCGCTTCCTTTTCCACCTCCACGTGATGGCGTCACATGTGCACGACACACGATAACCAAAAAGCTACCTTGTACATTAACTCTGCGCAGCCCGCACATGCCCTCTTCTGCGAACCGAGCATACTGTGCTGCATGTGTAAAAGAAAAAAACGAAAAAAGACTTATTAGACTCACAAGTACGTGCAGATGCACCACTTCACCCACGCACATGACACTGTGGGCTTTCGGTAACACGGTGTGCCAAAGCGTGCACATGTATGCAGCGAGTGGGCGCTACCGGGCGAGGCCGAGGCCACCGAGGAGATTGTGTGTGTGTGAAGTGTGCGGGTGTGTTGGTGTAGGGTGAGCATGCGGCAGTAAGAGTTGGCCGGTGTACAGGCCAGCAGAGAGGGTCCGGTGTGTTACATGTTTCGCTAATGAGCTTCCTTGGCCAGGCAGAAGTGTAGGGTGAGCTTATTAGTGAACAGGCTACAGAGAAAAGACCCTACAGCCCTCTGCCGCTGCTACTGCTGCTGCTGGCTACTCAACCGATCAGGCTCTCTGTCTCCGCTCCTCTCGATTGTGTTTTTCACTTCCTCTCTGTTTACGTTGCTGTAAATTGTCTCTCACTCCATTTCTCCCCCCCCCTCTCTGTCTTTCCTTCTCGTAGGCAGTGAGACAGTTTTGATCTCCAAGCGCAAACAGTTTTGGCCAGAGAGAGAAATTATGCAAACACACACTGGCGATTGTAAGTACCCCAACGTGTTAGAAATGTTTTGGGCTTTTTTTGTACAGGATGATGTATTCTCATGCTGTTGGATTGTCTTGCATTTCAATTTCATTGAGATAGGGGCCTGTAATTAAACGCTGTGCAGATTACGTCTCCGCTTTGTCTACATGTATTTTCTTTCTCTTTGTGAGCCTGGAACAGATTAAAATCATAATGTGTTGGGCCTTTATCCCTTTTTTTAGAAAGGCCAAGGTCCCGATGGCTTTATTAGCGCAGCACATTAAGAAAGAAAAAACAAACAAAACAAAGATAATCTTTTCGCGCACATGCGCAGAAAACACTTATCCGAACTGCCTGCTAGGCAACGACTTGACTCTCCCTCTCTCTCCCTATGCATGGTCCTGAAACTGTTGGAAAATGGCTTCCACTCTGTGCCTTCCAGCTCTCAGCTCCCTGCCGCCATTTTGTGCATCGCTGCCAAAGTAGTCAGGTAGCAGAAGAACAGAGTAAAGTGGGAAAGAACAAAGTGGGTGCAACTGGATGCTGGGTTCAGGGGAAAAAGGGGGGAATAAAGTCTAATAAACTGTGAAAAGGTGTGCAAATTGAGGAAGAGTAGCGCTCTAATGTACAGTGACAGGACCATTAGCGTGCCTATTTCTTATGGGGAAATGTTTTAATTGTTGTTGGCTGATTAGATAAAAATCAAGCGGCCTCCACTCTGGATCACTTCCAGCTCCTCTTTTCAACAAGCTGACCTCGAGTGGACACCATAAACAGGGCCTTTTTTTTCATAGGGGCAAATGTGCGCTGGCAGTGGCCACAGTTGTGTCGCACCCTTGCGCGTTGCCTCCAAGCCCCGCCTGCTTTCTCTCAACATAACCTGCTGTCTTGTAGCTATTTAAAGCCAGTGAATGGATAAAATCTTTAACCTCTGCTTTTTAACCTGTCTCCACCCTAACCACAGTGCACCGAGCTGGAGCTTCAGCCCATAACTGCGGCTGTATTGTACGGACTTAGTAACCCCAGGCACCACCCTGCAATCTATAGCTATAGTGACTGGCTGCCTGCGGCTCTGGAATTCTGTGTGCGCTCCACGTTTGATTATAAGTGCAGATTTTATTAAAGCCCTTCTCTCATTTACAGCCCACAGACACTAAAGCAGGTGTTCAGTAGGTGTATAAAGCTCTCTTGATCCCCCACTACAAGTCTGAAATGACACACACCATTTCTTTTTTTTATTTTTGTTTGCTTTGCTTCTGGGACTGTTTCAGGTTAACAGCCCAGTATTGCAACAGCGAGTTAAAGAAAAGAAGAAGAAAAAGTCCGGGGTTGGGAGAAAAAAAGTCATACATAATATAATTATTGTAAAGTCATAAAAGCAGAAATTATGTTAGAAAAAGCAAAATTGACCTAAAAAGCAGAGGGAAAAAAGACTTGCTTGAAATTGCAAGGTTGGATGAACCTCATCGCACCAGCTCCAAGAACTTTGTTATACATGTGTGGGTGTGTGTGTGTGTGTGTGTGTGTGTGTCGTGTGTGTGTGTGTGGTGTGTGTGTGTGTGTGTGTGTGTGTGTGTATGTGTGTGTGTGTGTTGTGTGTTGTGTGTGTGTGTGGGTGTGTGTGTGTGTGTGAAGAAAGGGGCTAAAGTGTTCCACGGAAAAACAGCAAACATCAGCTACATTGTAAATGACCAGAAATGAGCAGATTGACACCATTCATCGGGTTGTACCTGTTAATAGCGTCAAGTGTTATAAAACCTCCCTCACTGTATCATTGTGCCTCACTGCTGCCATGTAACTGATTTAGACAGTAGGTGCAAAATATAGCAGAGGTCCCTCTGGCAGTAAAACCTGGCCTATTTAGGCCTGTCACATATACGTTCTCTATGAGACAGCCACTCAGTCAGCGGCAGCTCCGAATGCACTCTGTCCCCTTTGACTGCTCACTCCTTAATCTGCCCATGTGCTTGCATATGGGACAGAGAGGCCTCCATGCTGTGTTTGTAGTATGAATTATGAATCCTGTTGCATAACCGCGGCCTGCTTGTAGGGCATATCACTACAACATCTACCCAGAGACCAAAGCTTGAATACATTTACCGGCCTAGACCTCTTGGAAATAATACTGTGAAGCTGTGCCTGCCTGCATTTGTTTATGGTTATATGGAGCAGATGGCCATGCAACAGGGTCACGTAGTCACGCACTGGCTGCCTCACTTGTACTGTCACACGCACAAACCCCTATAGACAGAAACGTAGCAATCTTCAAAGCATTGAAGGCGATTGAAGGCACAGCAGTTCATTCAGTCATTTTTCTTTTATACCTCACTGTTTAGGTGTGGGTAGGTGTGTGTGTGTGTGGGGGGGGTATTAAAAGTTGTTATCAGGGTATATAACTGTATATTCCCATTTATGCTGGCAGCTATCCTGGAACTGTAGGAACTGGTGCTAAAACCTTCTGCCAAATCAATGCTAACTATGGTTGACTGCGCTGCATTTACAGCGTTAGATTTCAGCGGTGAGCCTGACTAAACGCAGCTGTAGCCTGAGAGTTACAGGCTCTTGAAGGTTACAAACTGTGCAGATCCCCGTCTGCCTGCTCTGGCCTGCTGTCTGTCAGCTGAAGTTCATATTCAGGGAGAAAGGTATTTGTTCAACCCTCTAAATATAGCTGGTGACAGATGCCGCTCAAAGGGGCACTGCCCATTTGAAAGGGGCCCTGCGAGCAGGCCGGCGCTGAACACAGTGCATGTAGACGTGTCAGAGCTATAGCCTTCCTCTAATAGACAGAGGCCTTGCAGGTCACCAGCAGCCACATGGCAGTGCACATTTCACCAGAGCTCTTTAGAGTGGCAATACGAAGATTAAGACTTTGACTTCGATGAGCAAAAAAAGGTTACTTTTTTGTATTTTTATACATTTATTTAACTCGGTATCAACGTAACCCACTATGGGAAACTAACACAGTTCAAGTTTCTTAAGACCTGTATCTATAAAAATGCCAGTGTCCTAAGAAGAAGAAGGTGAGGGAGCATACATAGAAATAACCCCACAAAGCATAACGTGAGCGTTAACATCATTTTAAAGTGAAATCATGTACTTCTGTACCACCTATGCAAAATAAAACCAACCATCCACCTTTGAATAAATAATAAATTCTCATTGTTAAGTGCCCTCTGATAACTGTAATTTTGAATGTCTTGAGCAATAATCTGTAGAGTCATTGAAAACATAGACAGGCACCATTACTCAGGGGGCCCAGATTTGCGACAGTGTGAGACACCTGCTTTCAAGCTTTTTTTCTGGGTAGACCTTTGTCTTCAATTCAATTCAATTTTATTTATATAGCGCCAAATCACAACAAAAGTCGCCTCAAGGCGCTTCATAGATACAGAGAAAAACCCAACAATCATATGACCCCCTATGAGCAAGCACTTTGGCGACAGTGGGAAGGAAAAACTCCCTTTTAACAGGAAGAAACCTCCGGCAGAACCAGGCTCAGGGAGGGGCGGCCATCTGCTGCGACCGGTTGGGGTGAGAGAAGGAAGACAGGATAAAGACATGCTGTGGAAGAGAGACAGAGGTTAATAACAGATATGATTCAATGCAGAGAGGTCTATTAAACATAGTGAGTGAGAAAGGTGACTGGAAAGGAAAAACTCAATGCATCATGGGAATCCCCCGGCAGCCTACTCTATTGCAGCATAACTAAGGGAGGATTCAGGGTCACCTGGTCCAGCCCTAACTATATGCTTTAGCAAAAAGGAAAGTTTTAAGCCTAATCTTGAAAGTAGAGATAGTGTCTGTCTCCCGAATCCAAACTGGAAGCTGGTTCCACAGAAGAGGGGCCTGAAAACTGAAGGCTCTGCCTCCCATTCTACTTTTAAATACTCTAGGAACAACAAGTAGGCCTGCAGAGCGAGAGCGAAGTGCTCTAATAGGGTGATATGGTACTACAAGGTCATTAAGATAAGATGGGGCCTGATTATTTAAGACCTTGTATGTGAGGAGCAGGATTTTGAATTCAATTCTGGATTTAACAGGAAGCCAATGAAGGGAAGCCAAAACAGGAGAAATATGCTCTCTCTTTCTAGTCCCTGTCAGGACTCTTGCTGCAGCATTTTGGATTAGCTGAAGGCTTTTCAGTGAGTTTTTTGGACATCCTGATAATAATGAATTACAGTAGTCCAGCCTGGAAGTAATAAATGCATGAACTAGTTTTTCAGCGTCACTCTGAGACAGGATATTTCTAATTTTAGAGATGTTGCGCAAATGGAAGAAAGCAGTCTTACATATTTGTTTAATATGTGCGTTGAAGGACATGTCCTGGTCAAAAATGACTCCAAGGTTCCTCACAGCGTTACTGGAGGCCAAGGTAATGCCATCCAGAGTAAGAATCTGGTTAGATACCATATTTCTAAGCTTTTCAGGGCCGAGTACAATAACCTCAGTTTTATCTGAATTAAGAAGCAGAAAGTTAGCGGCCATCCAGGTCTTTATGTCTTTAAGACATTCCTGCAGTTTAACTAATTGGTGTGTGTTATCTGGCTTCATGGACAGATAGAGCTGGGTGTCATCTGCATAGCAGTGAAAATGTATGCTATGTCTTCTAATGATGACTGCCTAAGGGAAGCATGTATAATGTAAACAGAATTGGTCCTAGCACTGAACCCTGTGGAACTCCATAATTAACCTCAGTGTGTGAAGAGGACTCTCCATTTACATGCACAAACTGGAGTCTATTAGATAGATATGATACAAACCACTGCAGTGCAGTACCTGTAATACCTACAGCATGTTCTAATCGCTCTAATAGGATATTATGGTCGACAGTATCGAACGCTGCACTGAGGTCTAGCAGGACAAGCACAGAGATGAGTCCACTGTCAGAGGCCATAAGAAGATCATTTGTAACCTTCACTAAAGCTGTTTCTGTGCTGTGATGAGCTCTGAAACCTGACTGAAACTCTTCAAATAAACCATTCCTCTGCAGATGATCTGTTAGCTGTTTGACAACTACTCTTTCAAGGATTTTTGATATGAAAGGAAGGTTGGAGATTGGCCTATAATTAGCTAAGACTGCTGGGTCTAGAGATGGCTTTTTGAGTAAAGGTTTAACTACAGCCAGCTTGAAGGCCTGTGGTACATAGCCGATCATTAGAGATAGGTTGATCATATTTAAGATCGAAGAATTAATTAATGGCAGGACTTCTTTGAGCAGTTTTGTAGGAATGGGGTCTAAAAGACACGTTGATGGTTTGGAGGAAGTAATTATTGAAGTTAACTCAGAAAGATCAATTGGAGAAAAAGAGTCTAACTTAACATCAATGGTACTAAGAGTAGCTGTAGATAATATTACATCTGTGGGATGATTATTGGTAATTTTTTCTCTAATGATAAAATTTTATTTGTGAAGAAGTTCATGAAGTCATTACTAGTTAGCGTTGAAGGAATTGTTGGCTCAACAGTGCTCTGACTTTTTGTCAGCCTGGCTACAGTGCTGAAGAGAAACCTGGGGTTGTTCTTATTTTCTTCAATCAGTGATGAGTAGTAAGATGTTCTGGCTTTGTGGAGGGCTTTCTTATAAAGCAACAAACTATTTCTCCAGGCTAAATGATGATCCTCTAAATTTGTGACACACCATTTCCTCTTCAGCTTACGAGTAATCTGCTTTAGACTATGTGTTTGAGAATTATACCACGGAGTCAGGTACTTCTGATTTGAGACCTTAGTTTTCACTGGAGCTACAGTATTCAGAGTCATATGTAGTGAGGAGGTAGAATTATTAACAAGATAATCGACCTCTGTTGGGGTAGCATTCAGGTAGCTGCTCTGCTCTGTATGTTGGTACAGGGCATTGAAGATGATAACAGTGGGTGGATTACATTCTTAAACTTAGTTACAGCACTTTCAGAAAGACATCTACTGTGATAAAGTCTGCTCCCCACTGCTGTGTAATCAATTATTGTAAATGTAAATGTTATCAGGAAATGATCAGACAGGAGAGGGTTTTCAGGAAACACTGTTAAATGTTCAGTTTCTATGCCATATGTTAAAGGCCCCTTTCAAGTTAAGTGGTGGGTGGGTTCTTTTACATTTTGAGAGAAGCCAATTGAGTCTAATAACAGATTAAATGCCATGTTGAGGCTGTCATTTTTAGCATCTACATGGATGTTAAAATCACCCACAATAATTATTTTATCTGAGCTGAGCACTAAAATCAGATAAAAAGTCTGAGAAATCAGACAGAAACTCTGTGTGAGGCCCAGGTGGACGATATGTGATAACAAGTAAGACTAGTTTCTGAGTTTTACAGCTGGGGTGGGCAAGGCTAAGCATCAGGCTTTCAAATGAATTAAAAGTCCGTTTTGGTCTTGCTGTGCATCCTGCAGCCTGTGTGTATATGCATGCAAATGTGTGGATGTTTCTTTGTGTCTGTGCAATTGTACACTGCGTGAGAGAGATGAGAAGCAGCTGGCAAGGTTGGGCTGAGTGGTGTGGGAAACCCCTGCTGTGTACATTGTCATTACAGTGATTGGGGTCTCATTTGTTTTTTACCCCTAGAGTTGGGGCCGCAGGGCCACACTGGAATGAGCTAAGTTTGCCTAATCCAGCCCTCCTCACCTGGCATGTTTATGGCTCTGCTGCGGGATGGAGGGGTTGGAGGGGTATAAGTCAGTGGGGCCAGTTCATCTTGCAGTCTTACAGGCAGACACACACTTTAACCACGTTGGCGTGAGTACATGCACACTTGCACATGTATGCATTTGCTCATCTGCATGCACAAACACCACAAGTGTCAAGTGCGTTCAGTGCACATGCGCTAATGTGTTCTTGCAGCATCACAAACACGCGCTATGCACACACTGTACATTCAAACTTATTGATGTGAACTTTGAACTCCCTGTTCTTTCATTCCTAACACACACTTGCACAAGGTTTGCAAGCTCAGTATCTGCCTCATGCAGAGGTGACGGGGAGGTCAGCCTGTCTGACTTTGAGCAGAATCCCCCTGTGGCTTGCCCCAGCCATTCCCCCTGGCATGTGTAACAGGACCTGCCCAAGCAGCCTCTCCTCTTCCCCCAGCTCCTGTCCTCCTCCTACTGCTGCCTGCCCCTTGGCCCTGGTATAAATAGATGGGTCATGACTGCTGTGCTATCTGTATCGAGGGTGGTGGGGGGTGAATAGTCCACCCTGTCTATCTACAAGATTCCTCGTGTCTGCACCACTTCTGCTGCAGCAGGACATAAAAAGAAAAACAGGTATTTCTGACCACATCATTTGTGACTAGAGACTGTACACTAATGTCACCATGTTGAGTGTGTATGGGTGTACTTGCAAAGTTGAACTATAGTGTAGTGTGTGAGTGATCTTTTTACCCTGAATACAATGTTTTTTATAGATATTATTGTATTTTCTTTTTTTCTTTTTTTTTTACCCATCAGGATTTTTGTACATGAGGAAGACCCTCCAGTGGTGTAGTGGTTAACACATATGCTTGGGAAGTCAAAGGGCACTTGTTCAGTTCCAGCTGGAGACATACATCCCTTTCGGGCTTGTATCTAGCATCTAACTCTGACAAAGTATGCAGAGCCGCCTGCTGTGGTGACCCCTTGTGGCAAGTAAGAAGCTTTTTGTTTTATTTTATTATTCTTGAAGGTTGGCCTGGTAGTTTTTGGTTATCAAACAAACGGTTAAATGAATGCTATAGAAAACCTGTGTCCACATTGACTTTCAGTACAGATGATGTAGTAATTGTCTGATTAGATATTAGCCAATAAGTAAGCATATGATTTCAAATTTACCGCTTGAAATTTCGTGCTACTTGCAGATCTCGTCGGTTTGACTAGGTCACTGGATATGCAACATAGTTGTACTTGTGCGTCGTAAACTTTATTACATCTTTGGCCAAAAGTTAACTATTTGCCTCTATACATAAGTATCGAAACACAAAATGCAAATTGCATGACTTTAATGAACTTTGTAGATCCTTCTGAGTGCCAGAAATATCCCCTTGCAGTAAAAACTACATTGCTAGTGCTACTGCACTGTCACCTCTAGCTTTTATGGTGAAACATCAGAAGTCAGTCTTGACTGTGACCAAATAAAAGGCGAGAAGGTTTAAATATTGATTTTACTGTTGTAGTGGTTTGTATTATCATTTATTTATTTTAGGTAAATGAAGAGCATTTAATATATGCTAACATTTCTTTCTGTAACCATCTTTTATGTCGGTGATACAATGTTGTTGAGGTTAATACTGCTGCCTCACAGCCAGAAGGTTCTGGTAATAAACCACAGTATATTCATGCTGGTATGTTCTATAAGCGCAGAATAGATGAGATACAGTAAAGCTTTGAGTGGTCAGTAAAACGACAAAACATGATTGAAATTTGTAATTTGCAGGAATGAATAATAAGAATCTGAGGTTGGATATTACATTAAAGTGGTCTTTAAAAAAAATCTACCCACTCGCTGACCTTAAACCACCAGAACCTCAAAGATCAGGTTGCAAGGTTATAGCTGAACTGATTGGCAATGTAGCACTTAGACTCAAGTGTGATTAAGTTAAAGTGAGTTTTTAAGCAGCGCCTAGCTTTGCTGTGAACACTGTGTGAAAATATGATTAGATAAATCAGCAAAATGTTTTACCTTACTTCCTTTTTCCAAGCTTATGTGCATGTGTTTCAAACTGTGACCTTCTGTATGAGATTTGGTTTCACGTGTGCATCCATATATGTGTTTTATGGGACATTGTGAAGCAAAGATGTGCAGAAAGCAGAACTTGAGCTGAGGGAAGTGTGAGGCTGAAGCAGTACTTTAGTTACAGAGCCAGCTTGTTGAGTTTGCACGACAACCAAAGAAGAGTTCCAGATTGTCCTCTATAACTGCGGTAAAAAAAAACAAGTGTGCAACATGAGTATGGACCTGTGGGTGTGTGTATATATGCTTGCATTTCATGTTAGTTCTCTACAGTACATGTGCGTGGGTGTAAGCGTGAATATTTTCCTGTCACTGGAAGATAGCAACTGGCTCTGACTTCACTTGAAAATGATATTTTTCATTATTTATTGGTCGGGACCCCAGGGTCATATACTATATTAGATTAAAGTATGTTCAATCAGCAGATGTAGAGGACAATGTGTCTTGACCCTACATTATGAAGTCTGGGCCCCGCGCCACAGAGAGTTTTGCAGGACTGCACAATAAAATGAGGTATATGCTTTAGCATACGGTTTTCTCTATGATTTAGGTCCTAAAATCATTGCAAGTTGAGCTCTGTAGTGGAGTTAATTATGCGAGCTCCGTTTGTCATTACTAAATGTGTGTGCAAATGTATATGTGTGCTAACTGTAGGTTGCCATATTTCTTCTCTCAGGTTGTTTCTGTCTGCAAAGTATCTGTTTAGTCCTTTTGTGTCTGTTATACTGTACAGGTGTGTGCCTGCGCATATTTACAACCCACAGCTCTATGGTGTAAGTAAGGTGGTGTTGAATAATGCAGGGAACCTCAGACTCACCACTGAGCAGACGCAATGGGGCCTCTCAGCTCAAGACATACTGCTTTGTATTGTGCTGTGCTGTACACTTCTGTCTTCCCAGTACATTAGATTATATACAGTAATCAGCCGACTGTATGGCACAAAACACGCACAATGGTGTGGTTTTATCAAAGAACACATGAGCATGAACCGCACTGTAAATAAATATAACCCCCATATACAAACTGCAAGCAAAGCCAGACACGTCTTCACCCAAAGGTCCAAAATGCAGCGTTTGAACTGGCTGCAGTGTTTGCAATTGATCTCACATATGTCAAATCTAAAAGTCATCATGCAGGAGTATTTTTCTGTTTCCCCTTTTGTCTTTGTTGCAGAAGTAACAGATTTTCCCTCTTGGGTTTTTCCACATGGAGACTACCTGACATGCTGCTGAAACCATGATGGAGGGAGGAGGTTATAGGCCAGTGGGCCCTTCCAGCCCCTTTTCTCGATGCATGTTATATAGCAGGTGAGAAACATTAACGGAGGCAGCAGCAGCTGCAGACCTCTGCTCCACACATGTGGGCCAGGATATGAGCTAGCTTGAGCTCTCCCACTCTCAACTTTAGTGAGCAAGGTTATCGCTCAGAACCACAGGAAACAGTGCTGCCAAACTGGAAACAGCATAGCTCTGTTTAATATACGTTACTTTGAACACTGATCTTAATAGTATATAGGTTTGCCAGAACTTGATCTAAAATGATATTTGCTTATTTGTCATGTGACTGGCCACACCCACCCTAGCTTCTAAAAGCTATGTGATATTTGTGAATATAATAATGTTTCTGAGTGTTTTTGAGGTTAGCGTGTTTGCTATACAATGTTCATTATGAATATACCATTTAAGTTATTTACTGGTTGCATTTGAATATGGAAATGTCTTGGCTGCGCAATTTGCTTGAGACATGTGTGCCTTGTTGGGTCATTTGAATTACCCCCCTCAGCCCGGGCCATGAACCCGGAGACCCAGTTGTCACATTGTGTTTTGAGCGCACAGACTCTGGCCGCGGTGGTGAGGTGTCCCAGAGGAGAGTGGCATGTTTCTGTGAATCATAACCGCTGTTCTGTGTTCAGTGAGCCGTGTCAAAGCGGATTACCTGCATGAACGGGGACCTGAAAGGACTTTGTTTTTAAAGACTGTCCTTTGGGGTGAGGTAGTAGGTTGTATAGTTTTAGGGTCGTACCCTTCCTGTCAGATAACTATACAACTTACTGTCTTTCCTGAAGTGGCTGTAATGTCGTCAGATGCCTTTGGTGGAGTGCACGGATCCAGATCGACGCACTGCTTGCTAACGGCTCAGTAGCCCGAGTTTGATAGCAGAAAGTTATTAAGGACTGTAGCCGCTTTGTGGAAGTCGTTGATTGCCAATAAAGTACAACTGTGTTTTCATTGTAAGCATTCATTCTTTTTGTTTAAAACACAACAACAGCAAAAATGTCCTCTTCATATCTCAGCAGACACTTTGCGCTGCATAATCGTTTCCAAAGGTTGCTCCTGTTTAGCCGCCAGTCTCTTTGTTCATTTTCTTTGCACTTGTAAAAATCTAAAAGAAATCATCACAATTTGGGGGGTTTTAGTAATTAAAACTCGACAAAAATTTCAGTGTTTGCTTTTCATGTAGGTATGGTTTTTGTCAAATTCTGTATATTCATTTACAGATTGTATATGTCATCACAACGCTTTTATCATTACCAAAGATTTTACCCAGCCTGTAGGCCCTTTACTGATGTTCGTACGGGGTGAGGTAGTAGGTTGTGTGGTTTCAGGGTAGTGATTTTGCCCAATCAGGAGATAACTATACAACCTACTGCCTTCCCTGAAGGGCAGCAATACTTCACCATTCACACACATCAGGAGGCATTTTGTTCATATCATTAAAAAAAACTCCATATTGACAAACTAAACCACATGAATCACCTGAGTCTAAGAAATTTTATACAAAGATGTCAAATCAGACGATAGCAGCGGAAGGAACCAGCAGGTAAAGTCTGTGCAGTAAGGAAAATGTCTTTGACTCAGATTTTTTTTATTTTTTTGCTTCAAAATTAATAATAAAAAATAAGGTGATTGATCATTGCTCCTTGGTGTTCTTTTCTTTGGTTTATTCTCTCATCGGATGTTTCAAACTTTTGAAGCTCCTTTGGTTTTCAAACTATCTTCCTGAGGTAAACTTTACATACAGTTTACATACAGTGCTGGTCTCTTATGGGAAAAGGCAGAACTTAAACGGCACTATGCAAAATCGTGGAACGCCATTGGTCTGTTCTGACCTCTTTATCTTTCGAGAAATATTGGAAACACAAGTGGCATCCTGGGATCAGCTGGGGACCTCGGTGTGTTCTAAAACTCCAGAGCACAAGATATGGAAAGAAGAACCTTGGCACTACAGGGGGCTGAAGCATATGGTAGTAGATGGTGTTCTCTTTCTGGCCAGCAGCACATATAAATACACACACACACACACACAGATGGATAACAAGGTGAGTGCCAGCCGCTATCCCAACGTGGACATCAGACATAGCTCACTGTCTGAGACTGCAGCCCGGTATCTCATATCAAGGTCAGGCTTGAGGTTGTCACTCACAGCGAGAGTTCCTGCACACCCTTGGATTTTTTTAGCCAGTTGTCACATAACAAGTGACAGCTTTGCGCAAGAAGCAACTATTTCTCATTTTTGACATAATCCAGTCCCTACAGGCACTAAAACTCCAGCGTGTTGCACTGCCACCTGTATATCATTTCCTATGTCAGAGTTTCACACATATCAGACGTTAGCAGCCATGCTGAGCTTCTTGTGCAGCCACCAGATGTCTCTGACACAAAGAGGGGAATGGCTTGACAGCACATCACTGGAGTAACACTGCTCAGAGCTGTAACATTGTAGCGTGGGAAGAAGTCTACCACAGCACTGCATTCTGTGTGTCTAGACCAGTGTTGGGTGTATTTGTATGTGGGCTGCACCCACTGGGTAGCTGTACCCCTGCCAGCCAACAGGCTGAATTGATTTGGTCCTCGGCCATGGTGATGGAGCAAAAGGGAGCTGAATACTAAGCCTGCTGAGACAATGACTCTGTGTGCATCCTGTCTCTTGGGTTGCATCTCTAAAGGCCATGCACCATCCTTCATCTCCTCCTGCTTTGCCACTTCACCCAAAACACTACAAAAAGCTCTGACATCCGCTTTGGGATACCCCCCACCCCCACCCATGTCAATGCAATAAGAAACTAATGAAATGCTTGCAAGGCTCAGGCTGACACATATGAGTCAGAATTCAATAATATACTGTTGCTTTTTCCAAAGTTGCCAGGAATTTGAAAAGAAGAATACTTGCAGCAGCGCTTTTATAAGAGCTTGCATGATGTCATTCCTGTATAAATGGAATGGTGTTATTGATTGAGTGTAAGTGGATAGGATTGAAAGCTCTGTGTGGGCAGGTCCTGCAAATAAACCACTGAGCAGTTTACATTTGCTGAAATGAAGCAAAGCTAAGCGTGGTTTCAAAATAGCTTCCGCCACCACATTAAATATGCGATGATAAAATGAGTTTGAAGTATAGAACCAAGGAAATGAAATTATTTTGTTTGCGTATTTATATTTTCTGCACACAGAGTCATTTCTAATTAATCACATTTAACACTGATCCCTCCAGTCACCAGACCTCTCTCACTCTTTAAAGACATGGCAAAGGCGCCACCTAGTGGACGCTCTACACTTATCTTTGTGCCATATTTGCTGAATATTTTATTTCTATATGAACCATTTTGGCCACACTGAATTATTTGACCGTTTGCAAATTCATATTCTTTCCATATATTGATGAGTGAATCGAGTAATTATTGCAGTAACACCAGTTAGGCCTCCAATAAGTTGACCACAAAGGGGTGATTGTGACTGGATGACTGGATGCAGGCAGCCTGGGAAAGCGGCTGTTGAGTTCTCGTGAGTGGGCAGACAACAGTGATGCACCTACATCATAAATACAAGAAATGAATGCTGCGGGCGTCAGTGTTCTGTCAGTGTGAATGTTTGTGCTAAGGAAAACAAAGACAGACATTGTTGTTGCTGATAGTGGAGATTACTTTTTGGGCAGTTTAGCCTGATGTGATCTTTGGCACCATAGTACAAAACTGGTTGATTAAAATAAAATCTGTTTTCTACAAAGTATTTGTTAAAGTCTGCAGTTTTTCTAGAAGATGCTTAAAAAACATGTCATGTCCTTGCAAGTTCTTCAGCTGCTGTTTCTTACCAGCAGGTGGCAGTAGAAGTCGTGTAAAACTACCATAAGGACTCGAAAAAACATCCCCAGCCTGCTGTCGAAAGTCCCATCCAGGGCCTAAAACTTAACTTGTGTAACTGTTGATATCGAGGCCAACAATTCTAGCATCAACTAGCACGTTTTCTTTCAGTCGTTTTACCTCCAACATTGGGTCACATGTCATAGAATCATACTGTCATACTGTTAACACACCAACACAATGTAGATGTAATTACGGACTCATTTTTGATCATGTTCTTCCTGATTTCCAGTTGGGGAAGAAAACACAGTATTAAGCAGACAAATCCATGATGTTCACTGTGGAGCGCTGAGTCTTCGAAAGAGCTGTAATTCTAAGGATGGGTTCTCTTTCGTAACCACAAAGTACTTCATCATACAGTTGCTTGTTCAGAGTTTGTTTTATTACAGCTAGGTTCACTTCATGGACAGACATGTTGTAAGCAGCTGTCATTAAATTATCTAGATGTGGAAAGTCTCCCCTTAATTAGGAAACCAGCTGTGATCTAGACAGAGAGTCTTGACCGGAGCCCATTACTGTGGACTCTGTCTGCTCTACTGAGCTGTGTTGCAACGAGCCGTATCTTCTCGGTCTAATGTTTCTCAATGTCCTCCTCACACAGTGAAGTCGCCAGCAGTTGTGGAGAAGCCTGGTAAACTGGAGCTGGTATCAATGTGGATGTCCATAGGAGCAAAAAGTCATTCCCATGTAACAACTTGACTTTTTTTTCTTAAAAGCTTAAAAGTTTCTTAAAAGCTTCTCGTGATTAAAGATTAAAATATACTTACCATATTTGGCTTTTCTGAAGCCTTAACTGTTCCCAGAAGTGAGTAACCTGGGAATAACTGGACTAACAATGGACAGTGCTCTTAATAATTTGGGCTGTTAGGTAAGGTAAGCCAAGCCTGAGTCACTAAAACGGCACCACAGTTATACTGATACACAGGAGACTGAGAGTGGAGGGTATGATTTAGCTGTGGGTGCTAAAAAAAAAAAAAAAAAAGATATATCAAGGGTCGTGGAGGACAGCAATGGGGTGACAAGAATAAGACACAGACGCACACATAGGTAAAACAAACGTTATAGTGTTTACAGGTGTAGCAGTTCATGGGATAGGTTAGGTCAAGGCTGACACACCCACTGAAACTATGTCATAAATTAAATCGCTGTGTTAAACAAAAGATCCAACAAGATTTTGGTCAGTTATCAACAAATGACTGATTAAAATGTTGAACATGCTCCAAGCAAACAGATAATGTAGTGAGTGAGCCTTCGGGTTATGTTGTTTTTTTCCAGGCATTTATTATTGAGACCAAGCATGAACATATACAGTAGAGCTGGGCGATAGAACGATAACGATATGTATCGCGATATAACTTTTACTCGATAGAGAAATTAAGCTATCGCGATAGACCTCGCCGCTCTTGTCCTCTTAAAATAAAAAAATAAATAAAAAAATAAAATAAAAAAAGGTCAGCCAATCCAAACTAAGTAGCGCAGAGCCGAACCAATCACAGCCGCAGCGTCACGTCGCGTGACTTGTTACGTACAGCACAAGTGCCAAGCCGCACGTGTGTTTGTTTGGGAAGCAGCCAGCGGGTAATGGAGCCAGCGCGTAATGGAGGAAATGAGTGTGCCGACTAGAAAAATCAACCGAGCGTGACCGAAGAGAAAACAGATGATGGTTCCAACGCCGGAGAGATTGTCGAACGGAAGAGCCATAGAAGTTCCGTAGTGTGAAGGTATTTCGGCTATTTCAAGTCTGACAAAAAACAGAGTAGCGTGCACTGTAAATTGTGCCGAAAGCAAGTCTGGAAATACAATAAACTGGTGCATGCGTCACACTGTGCGCCACGTTATTGTTTCGGTGAAATGAATTTCTACAATACTGTTAATTCTACTCTCTGCAGTGTTTAAATGCTTACATATACACACAGTTACTGTCCCTCCACACATACGACTCGGTTCTGCTTCTATGCCGCAGCTTTGTTTACTTTTTCCCACCGAGGCTTCTAGACTTCTGATTGGCCAACATTTCTGCACGGTTAGGAATCTAGCGCCACCTGCTGCTTTGGCATGTTCATAGCAGCGTTTTCCTTCATTTCTGCCTTTATGTGTGGACGGGATTATTTTTTAAAACGAAAACGGAAAATCTCCGTTTTCAAAAATACCCGTGTACGTGTGGACGTAGCCTCAGTCTCTGACTGGAAGCGCTAATTCGTCATTCGGCTTTTGTCAGACTAAAGTAACTGTTAAAACTGTTTGAAAAGCTAAGCTATACAACAAGGAGAGATTGAGAATTTCCTTTTAGTTCTCAGTTTATTTGATATTGACAAAAGTTAGTCAGTTTTGTCTGTTCTTCTGTAAAACAAACTAAGATTTATTTTTAGAATTAATATTTTGTTTCTAAGTGGAATTGACAATTTAGTCTGTTTTGTTTGTTCTATTTTGAAACTTAAACGCTTTAGCGGCTGCCTTTTGTGTAGTTTGCAATATTTGCCTTTATTTATCTGAAAAAGTCTCATGTTCCTTAAGTACATCTACCCTGTTGAACTTATTATGGGAAATAAATATTTAAATAAAAACAAGCTGCTGATTATTTCACATTTTACTTGTGAGCAACGGCACATTTAAATCTTACAAATATAGTTATTTGGCTTACATCGTGATAGATATCATTATCGACTGAAATGAAAAAAACATATCGTGATATGAAAAAATCTCATATCGCCCTGCTCTAATATACAGTAGCTGTTGCTACAAATTAAGAACCAGTATAATACCATATTACACAACAG